AAACTATTAAATTTAAAATTTTAATATTTTTATAAATTTACATATTTTATTGTTGTGTTTTATAAATTTATTAAAATAGAATATAATAAAATGATTAAAAACAATAATGAAACAAGAAACGAGACAATAAGTTGAATCCTTATGTAGGGAGCTGAGTTATTGTCAAAGAACTATGGACTCGAGAAGAGCCTATGACCACATCCCCCAAAAATGTATCATGAACCGATATTAGTATGCTCTAAATTTGTAGTTTACTTTTTTTTAAGTTGTTCGTTTGTTTGTTCTTTTTTTTTTAAATCACTGTGTTGACAAAATCTGGGTTTTTTTTATCGAGCAACCATCAAACTGCTATCAAGTTTTATTAGGCATAAACTGTGTAACAGTCGTAAAGTCATATCTTTTCACTCAGAGCATGGATCGAGACTATTTTTTTGAGGATGCTTATTTTTTTAAGATCTAGATGCTCATCAAATTTGGCTTTTCTTTATCGAGCAACTATCAAACTGCTATAAAGTTTTTTTTTTGGATTAACCTGGATATCCAACCCGCTATGCGAGCTGGCTAATCCCAGGGAGACCACATGCTTTGCAGATAACCCGGAGTCACCGCATTTGAACCTCCGTGGCCACAAAGGGGATTTTTATTCCTACTTGAATTTAAACCTGAGACCTCCTGGTACTTTTGACCTTTGGAATCAAGCTCAAACCAATCAGACACCACCCTTGTTGTTGCTATCAAGTTTTATCTGGCATAAATGGTGTAACAGTCATAAAGTCATAACTTTTCACTCATAAGTTGGATCGAGACTATTTTTTTGAGGATGCTTATTTTTTAAAGATCTAGATGCTCGTCAAATTTGGGTTTTTTTTATCGAACAACCATCAAACTGCTATCAAGTTTTATCTGGCATAAATTGTATAACACTCGTAAAGTCATACCATTTCACTGATAGCTTGGATCGAGACTATTATTTTAAGGATGCTTATTTTTTTAAGATCTAGATGCTCGTCAAATTTGGATTATTTATCAAGCAACCATCGAGCTGTTATTAAGTTATATGTCGAGTATTAAACCATCTCCAACCAACCATTAAAAAAACTAAACACACTAAAAGTGGTATTCCAATTGAACACTAAAAGAGAGATCAACTCCAACCACACACTAAAAACAATTAAAAAAATATTTTAATAATAATAATAATAATAATAAAATAACACGATCGACTAAGATTTTTAGAATTTTCAAAACATAATTAGATAAATAAGTATATTTATATAGTATTTAAAATATATATCTATACATATTTCGGGTTTTATGACGGATCGAGTGGCCAGATATCAAACCCAATTCGAACCCAAATTTTCTCCAAAAAATCAGTTTTCGGATTTTCGATTTTCAAGGTATTCTGATTTTACATAAATATCTTATTTACGGTTCGAATTTAGGTTTATATTTCAGATAATTCGAGTTTTACACGTTATCATTTTCATCACTTCCCCTCAATATCCCCAACCGAATGCCTTCTAAAGTGCTAATTTTTTAATTAATAAATATTAAATTAATTTTTTTTTTTAATTTTATCTATGTATATTTAAGTTCTGTTAGACCAAAATTATTATACAAATGTTTTATATAAGTTCTTATAAATTAAATTAAAATTATTCAATTATCAAAAAAAATCTATATGTGTTTAAGTTTCAGTGATCAAAGTCATAATAAAGGTTCATATTTTTTGATTTAAATTATTTAAATGTAATTTATAATTTAAAACAGAAAATAAATTAATTACGGAACTTAATACAAAAATATTAATTTATTCAATATATAAAATCAATATAATAATAGAATATGAGAAATAAAGACCAACATTTTGACCTCCAGATCAAGTTTGATGACCTCAATTTTTTTTAACGTTACACTGATAGAGTTGGAGTAGAAAAGACATTCATCTTTTGTGTTTTTTGTGGTGGTTGGAAATGCCTAAGACCATCTCCAACCTAACTACATGCCCGACGCAAGACTTCCTTTTTTTTTATGCAGGTTAAAAAGGCGTGAAACTCCTGCTGAGAAGGCTCGACTGGTTTTTCCACTGAAAGTATAGAAGATAAGGTGTAAACTGTAAGCTACATATCAGATTTACCAGTTATAGAATATTATGAAGGTGCTTTATCGGATAGTTTTTGAGTTGGCAAAACTGATACCCTTTATCTAATAGAAAAATCTATCGGATTAGGGTTCGATGAAAGCTACAATTACAACCAACTGTTCATCATAATAAATAAAAAGATTTGTTGGACAGTAAGTATTTATTTACCAAAGGGCCTTTGGCCTAGTGGTAACGTAGCCCTTGACCTTCTAGGAGGTCAGGGGTTCAAACCTCACCATAGGTGAGGAGGGTGTGTGGGTTTATTTGTTGCATTTGCCGTATATAAATATACTTAAAAAAAAGTATTTATTTATTATTATATATTTTTATTTGTTGGTATTGGGAAGTGATGAATTACAAATGAAATGTTTCTAGAAGGGGGTTGAATACAAACACAACAAATTTTCAGTTTAATTTTTTGCTCTATATTTTCTATAAAACAAAGATTTGCAGATATGTTGCAAAAGTTAGGAAGATAAGACCTGTGATCCTTTATTATCTGATTGTGACAAATTTGCTAAACTAAAAGAGATGGGTAAAAGAGGTTCTCTTTTAATCCGGCGAACTAAGCAAATTCTTCAGAGGATGACGCCAAATTTACTTCAGAAACACTCATAATGATGTTCTTTGGATAACGAGTGAACTGCATTGAATGACAAGTTTATAACCATCTTTGCGTTAAATGCTTACTGGCCAACTTTAATGTGTGGATTCTTCTATTTGGTTGATCCATGTATCCTAGTAATTTTCATATCAACCTTTGAGCTTGATGTAGATACTTTGTTAACTTAATCCATCTTTAGATATGTCGAGGGAACAATAAAGTAAGCAAAATACCAATATAAAATTCTTTTGTACTTACTTAGACTGACATGTTATATATGTTCTCATATCAAGGAAGAAGCAAGTGACTTTGTGAGCCAAACTTGTTGGCCAAGTTTGTATTTCAAGATTCGGCTTGCCAATAGTAGTATTTGTTAGAATACTACTTGACTTTTATCTTGTATTGATCTTATTTTGGCTAGATGACAAACCAATCTGCTTTCATGACAGTCTTGACCACCACTAATATCCAATAGAAGAATCTATCAGATTAAGATCCGATGAAAGCTACAATTACAACCAATTGCAACGACTGGAGAAATATCTGAAACCTAAAACAATAAGTTCGGATGACGAGGTAATATCTGATGAGTGAAGTTCAACAGATATATACCTTGTTGAATCAGGGTAAACAAGAAGATTTATTTTTAAGTGTCTGATTGGATGTTTATAAGTTTTATTAACATATCTGAAGCCTAAGATTTTAATGTCTTCAAGTCATGAACTCTTCATAACGTCGTCTTCTTTCTTGTTTTTATCCGACCTCTAATGTACATTACAAGTCGTGTTTATCAAATAAGTTTTCAACCATGACTAAGGGCCATAACTATTCACCAAGAAAACAAATAATACACACACAGTTATGTAAAGTAGTGTTTGCAAAAATATGGATTAAACATTTTAAGCAATTATGTCCTCCACATAAATTTTATGGCCTTAAGAAAACATGACATAATCCGTTAAAGGATC